GGTTGCTGCGCCACTGTCTGAGTGAAGGCTAAAAGTGTACGAATACCGAAGGAATCGTCTACCACGTGATAAAATTTCTCTCGGACGCTTTCCCTGATAGACTTCTACGATTCCTCGGGAAACGCTTCGCGCTCCCTCCCTCGGACAGCAAAGTGACCGGTGGCAGGTTTTCCCACAACCCTCGGTGAACCTTCAACACCTCAGGTATCATCCATCTTGAAATCCCGAGGCAGCTCACGAAAACAGCATTAACGGGGCGCTTAATAGCCGCTTTTAAAACTCGCAGGCTACCGGTGCTTTATTGGCTTTTTATGACCGGCCCCGCGTGGTTTCCGAAGAGGAATTCGCCTTTGTTCTTTTTTTGTTTGATTTTTTTAAGTGTTCGTTGTTGTTCTTTCTTGACGAGCGTCTTGAAAGGAAGGTGTTGATGGAACGAGTGTTAAGGGGTATTTTTATGATTTCTTTCGCTTTCATGGTGATATGGAACGCTTTTTAAATTTATGTGAGATGTTTAGTGCCGACTAAGTAAGCCTAACTCCAAGGTTTTAATTTTTCGTGGAAAAGTGTTTGTTTCCGTGTGGATATATGTTTTGATAAGTGTCAGATTTCTAGTAACGAACAAGGCAGGATTTACACATTTCTGCGCCATAGGCCACATCATATTATGTGCCCCTTCCCAAAAAAGTTAAGATATAATTTTATTTCTGAAACATATAAGCACACAATCCTTGCAATCTTTGAGCCACATAAAATTTTTTGTTCGAAATTACACTACTTATGAAATAATATAATAATAACGTCTACAAAATTACTACATTTCTTGAAATCGTATGAAATACCTACTGGAACATATTCCTTCGCGCTTTTATCCGTGAATAGGTTTGAAGTCATTGGAGTAGACAAACTTTTTAAATCTCTTTCAAACAAATAAGTTAGTTCAAAGACAAGAGACAATAAGGTTCACAGATGACAAAAAATGTATCGCTCAATGTATTTAATGTAACGAATGTAAATTTCAAAATCATTATTTTATATGGCCTTTTCAAAATAACACTGAATAATGTTTAAATATTTGCTTGTTATTGCTTCTGTGCACGCGCCCCCTGACGGCTGAGCCCTAGGCCATGGCCTAGATTGGCCCTGTGGGAAATCTGGCCCTGGTATCCAAAATAGCTATCTTTTTTTATGGATAATATCAAACTAGTTTTGTTATCCGGCTTCGCCGAGATAGATTGAAACTCATTCTTTATTCATTATAATTAGTTTTATTATTTTCGTTACTACAAATTAATTCATTCGTAGCTTGTATTACTCGGTCTGAAAAAAACCGGAAACATGAAAACTAGTGTCGCTCTTTTGAGTTCTTTGAAATAATGAGTTTTATTTAAAAATTTTTCATAGCCTTTCTCTTAATTAAACATCAATAGAAATAATTATTTTCAGAAGTTGAAACAGTTGAAATAAATCTTAGAATGACATGTACAAATTTCGTGTAGCTACTATTCAAGTTTCGGGATCTTGTAACAAACATAAAGAAGCTTGCATTTCCTGTTTTATCATATAGATTAACCCCTTTCAGTGACTTGGTGGTTCGCCCGCAGCATTAATAATATTTACATATTAATGTCAACCAACTTAAAATTTGCATTTAATTTTTGGTCAGCTGAAAGCATTGAATATTACAAAAGACGAAGAAGCGAATGAGAAAACGTATAGTTAGGGCACAGAATATATTGTTGGGAACCTATAATATCGCTTCCTAAGCATATTAGCCCTATGGCTGGAAAGAGACATTTACAGAGGTTTTATAAAAATCAGGGGTAGTGTCAGTCAATGAGCCCCCGACCTTGGTGACCATTTGCCGACAAAACTAGAGTCCCCCGAAAATACTATAATTTTCGTCCTATCTCTATTAGGAGCAGAGATATAGAGAATGTACTAGATGATCCGATGTGACGTCTCATCCTGCCGGAAAAGGGTATAAATACCGACCTACTCAACGAGGAATTAATCTCTTTGGAATCTTGTTTGCGTTGCGAATTGGTCAGCTGTTAGACGCTGATTGCTATGGTTCGTGCTATTACTGTTATTGCTAATGTCTGCTTGCATTGCTAATTTGTGCAAGTGCAGTTCTTTTCGTGATACCTGTTCTTCGAGTTTCTGGAATATTCGTTAAATAAAGCGTCGTTTCCCATTATCCTGTTTGTTGGACTGCTTTCACCTTACATCCACTGGACGATTTTCTTAACAGTGTATTAGTTTTTGACCCAAACTTTAATGCCAAAATAAAATGAAAATCTACAGAATGTTTCGCAACTTATAAAGTGATAAATCGGACCTTTATCAATCAACTATTAAAAAGTGTTTCTTACAACGACTCTAAACAATGTGAGATTTAATGAAGATTATAACTTTATCTTGGTGATGAGTAATTCTAATTTAAATGAAAATAATTACATATTATTTAGCTAATTAAAAGCACAAATTTACGCTTTATTTTACATATTAAGTTCTACATGTAGAGCTTAAACATTTAAGCTATAAGTATACTTAAACTATGCATAACCTTTAGACGTGCATCTGTCAGTTAAGTGGCACTAATGCATTAGCCAAAATTTCTCAAATCCAGCAACTTAAAGGCGGCGAAAAGATATGATTGAACGAGCATTGTGGTATCGGGTTTTCTCTGCGATAAAAGTAAGTAAAGGGGCGACAAAAGCATTTATTTTAATTAAACATTTCTGTAGAAACCGGTGGTAACACGAAAATGTCACTTAATTATACTATTTCACAGAGAAAGCCCTATACGAGGTTTTCGAAATGAAATTAAAATTTCCTAATGCCAAGAGCATTATTCCACGGGGGAAAAATTTTTCGTTTGATTTCGAAAAAAAGTGTTTATTGCAAAGTTGCTTTCGAAAACAGAGTAAATACAATATCATAGATGTGGTATTTTCCTACAGAGAAAAGAATAACGGTTCGTTAATCTATTCGTTGCTAAACGCAAAACTGGGAAAGCATCTCGAGTTGTATGATCCTTAATCGGGACATTCACAATTAGGCCACTCCACTTTTTGATTACGAAAAAAAGTGTTTATTGCAAAGTTGCTTTCGAAAACAGAGGAAATACAATATCATAGATGTGATATTTTTCTACAGAGAAAAGAATAACGGTTCGTTAATCTATTCGTTGCTAAACGCAAAACTGGGAAAGCATCTCGTGTTGTATTATCCTTAATCGGGACATTCACAATTAGGCCACTCCACTTTTTCGGAACACAGTATGCCAATACCCTTCGTTAACGGAATAGACCGAGAAAAGAGTTGGATTTACATTCGATCCACTAGGCCATAAAACTGAAATATAAGAGTCGGTTGGAGGGGCCTAGTCTCTTTCACAAAAGCGAAAAACACAAAATGGGGGAGGAGTGTACATACGTGGAAGCCATTCTGGGGAAATTAGGGAGAGGGGACACAATTTGAAAGCGGAGGGAGGAGAAGGCGCAGTAGTCTAAGGAATCGGATTAACCGTAAGTGTGGTAGGTACAGTCCAACCTGTGAATGAACCACCAAATTTTATGGACTGATAACGCAAACGGTCGGCTAAGAAACCCTGCAAATGGATTGGAACAGATCGATGGTGAACGTCCAGCTTTACAAAATATTCGCCTTGAAAGAATACTTCGTGAATCTAATTAATGGCTATGGACCATATGCTGGTTGGGTATCCTTATTAGATACTGAAGAAAGACAAACACAGAGAGTCCAAAAGAAACTAATTAGTACCCATTCGATCCAGGGACAAGGGTATCGCTTCACATCTGAATACGAATGTTGCACTGCTGTTTGACAAGCAATATCTAATCTTCATTCTCTAAACGAAACCGGCAACTCTGGTAAACAACCTTAAAAACCGTGCGAAAGCGTCCCTATAAAAAATATCAACACCCATATTTCTTTTTTCATTTGCCAAACATTCAAACAGTTGGAAGATATTTCTTATTTAATCGTATACATAGCTTAGATGTGAAAAAAACTGCGAGCGCAAGCTATTTCTCAACAAAATATTAGGTATTTTATAAAAGATGAAAGTCTCAAACTTTTCTATACTCAATAAAAAATACTCATATCCTCGGATCATCAGTGCTGAAGTTGACAAATGAGCTGCATTTCAACATCAAAATATCGGAGGCTGGGAGTTCTTTCCTACAGTGGTACGGACTGATTCATATTCATACGACGCATGTCATTCACTGAAGATATTTAAATACGGATTATATCCAAATCATTTTTCAGAGATTTCGAAAATTCCGGATGTAAAACTAGCTGTTACCATCCCCAGTGGCGCAGCTGAATAGCGCGCTGTACTTATACAGCAGTATCTCGGAGTATTGCCGAGGCTGTGAGTTCGAGCCTCACCTGGGGAAGTGTTTCTTTTATCATATTGCTTCGGTTTAGTTTCCTTCATTTTTATGATATGTACACTGATTTATGTTCATTCGAAACATGTCATTCGTTGAAGATTTTAAAACAGACGCATACGTATTCTTTTACCATTGCATGATTTTAGATTCCTTCTTTGGTATGGAAAAGTAAACTGATTTATGTTTATTCGACACAACTCATTCATTGAAGATTTTAAAATCAAATGCAATTTTATTATTATTTCCTATTCATTTTCCAGAATTTTCGAAATTTCTGAATGAAAAGCTAGCCGCTAGCTTCCCAGTGGCGCAATTGGTTAGCGCGCGGTATTTATACGACAGTGTTTGCGAGTAATGCCGAGGCTGTGAGTTCGAGCCTCACCTGGGGAAGTGTTTCTTATATCGTTTTGCTACGGATTAGATTCTTTCATTTTTATGAAATGTACACTGATTTATGTTTATTCGACACAACTGAATGGTTGAAGATTTTTTTAAAAACAAATGCAATTATATTCTTAATTCCTACTCAATTTTCAAAGTTTTCGAAAACTCCGAATGTAAAACCCGCGGCTACCATACCCAGCGGCGCAATTGGTTAGCGCGAGGTACTTACAAAAGGCAGTATCTGCTAGTTATGCCGAGGCTGTGAGTTCGAGCCTCTCCTGGGGAAGTGTTTCTTTTACCATTGCATCATTTCAGATTCCTTCATTGGTATGGGAAAGTACACTGATTTATGTTCAATCGACACATGTCATTCGTTGATGATTTTTAAAAACAGGCACATTTGAATTCTTATTCCCTAATCATTTTTCAGAGTTTTCGAAAATTCCGAATGTGAAACAAGCTGCTAGCATCCCCAGTGGCGCAATGGGATTTCTTTCATTTTTTAAATTGATTTAAAATGCTTCGAAACGAACAATAACGTTAAAAAAAATTCTAGACAGTTTCTTTTTTTTAAAATTTGCAATCAAAGTTCGCCTCTCAAAAAACGCGGGAAAAACGATCCATTTTGGCGCGAAACGGGTCTGACGTCAAAGTTGCCAGACAGGGAAGACACACTCTTCCTTCCCGTTCGCGCTCTATAGAGATTCTCTTTTTTTCTATATTTTCCGACTATCGCATCAGATAAAATAATGTCGGAAAGATACAAGCATTGTATTGTTCCTAAATGTCGTAATACAACTATAACGGCACCCGATAAATTATTTATCAATGTGCCAAAAATTATGTTATTCGCAAAAAGTGGTGTAAAGTGATGAAGAGAGATCCGAAGCTAAATCCGGAATTATCAGCAAGCAGCGTTCGTCATGTCTGTGGAGATCATTTTGATGTGAGTTATTAATCTATATTTTACCTAATAAATAAAATTGTATATCATGAAGCACAGTAAATTCAGAATTCGATATCTTTTTTTTACTGCTTTTTTCAAGGGTAAAAATATAGAAGATCCCACCTTCTTTAAGAATCTTTTTTTAAAAAAAACTTACTCATGTTATTTTACAGCATAAATTTTTTCAATGGATATTCGTATGTTTCTTATATTTTTTTAAAAATTACCAGTACTATTGAAAATTAACAAGAATATCTTAAAAAATAGTTTAAATTCACGACTTTTTTGATAATAAAATTCGTTTTCATTTGTAGTTCAACAAAATAATTCGCAGAATCAACTTTTGATGCAAAATAAATTCTTTATATTCAATGAATGCATTAAAATCAAAATTAGTCTTCAAAAAGTTAGTTTGCTCATCAATTATTATAGTTGAGAAAAGGTGGGATAAATTTGTCTCATCGTGTATCTCGAGTTTGTTGATGGCAGCACTTAAATTCCTAGATCAGTCGCATTTGGTCTGGTTTGAATATTATTATAAATTTATATAGTTTTTTTAATATAATTCAAAAATTAACTAACATAATGACAAAAACTTACTTTGCAGGAAAGAAGGCTTGCTACTTACAGATACTTTGTTCGTATCTTTTCTTTTCTTTTTTTTTTGCAATTTACGAAAGTGGTTACAGTTTTATCATTTTTAATTTTTTAGTGTATTTCTTTATATAAGTTATTTTTACCAGATTTTATATTAATTAGTATAAACTAGTATTTTAAAATTAATACTCGTACAAAGGAAATAATTTATATAGTAAAATAAACCGTTGTAAAATTAAACTATATAAAATAAAATTAAATTTTAAAAGGCACAGGTGTGTTTTTTAAAAAATGCCGTACATGAAATTATTTTGAACGGTACTTCTGAAATAAATATATTCCTCTTTTTTTCTGTAGGCATACGAAATTTAATACATCATGCAAAAACAGGTTCTTATCTTTTCGTTCTTGCTTGTGCAACAGAAGTCGCAGCGTCTTCTCGGAATGCCCGATGGCCCCTCTGCAATTTATTGTTGCTTGACGGTTTCGAAAACCTATCCGTTTTCCTAATGCGAAGCCTTTTCTGTATAGTATAGAGCCCTGTTCCGGTAACTGAATGCCTTCAAGGGAAGGTCACAACAACTTTTCTTATGAGATAATTTACGAGCCGGTGTTTTGTGTCCAGTTTCTTTATCGGAACTGAATAATTACAGACACGTATACTGACAAAACATTTGTGTTACTTCCCTTGTAATTAAATAAGTAAACGATCAGGATTCTACTATTAGAAAGTGAGTAGCTTGCTTTGTTCCGAAGCTTTCAAAGAGATCCATAAAAATACTACAGAATAGTGTTTCACATTTGAGTGCTGATTGTTGGAAAATCTGTTGCATTCAGAGGATACACATTCTTTCAAGGCATTTTCAAATAAAGGGCTGACGATACGATTCGCGGAAGAGTCTCGGGGAATACGGAGGACAATTGATGGGCGGTGGGACTATGTCATCCCACCCCTTGTGAAAAAAACTAAAAGCAGAAAAAAATATTTATTTGTAAAATATTTTATTTTCAGGTGATAGGACATCAACTATGTATAACTTGCTAAAAACTTCACTTTTAAAATGTTAGCTGGTACAAACGCCTTGATTCAAAGCAGAGTACAAAACTAGCGAAAGAGAAGTATGCGAAGGAAGGCACCCTTGACGTCAGAATCTACTCGGCCAATGAGAGTACGTTTCGGATTGCATCAGGATTCCTGCTATTTCAGGGCATCTTTCGCTCTCAAAATTTAAATTCACGAGTTTTAAAAAAGTGCTGAAGTTCCCCATTGGTTAGAGCGCGGTACTTACACGACAGTATCTGCGAATAATGCCGAGGCTGTGAGTTCGAGCCTCACCTGGTGAAGTGTTTCTTTTACCATTGCATGAATTTAGATTCCTTCATTGGTATGGAAAATTACACTGATTTATGTTTATTCGACACAATTCATTGATTGAAGATTTTTAAAACAGACGCATACGTATTATTTCCTGATCATTTTTGAGAGTTTTCGAAAATTCCGAATGGAAAACTAGCTGCGAGCATCCCCAGTGGAGCAGTCGGCTAGAACGCGGTACTTATAGGTCAGTATTTGGGAGTAATGCCGAGGCTGTGAGCCCCAGCCTCACCTGGGGAAGGTTTTCTTTTATCATTGCATCATTTTAGATTCCTTCATTGTTATGGAAAAGTACACTGATTTATGTTCATTCGATGACGATTTTTAAAACAGACTCATTTGTATTCTTATTTCCAGAATATTTTTCAGAGTTTTCGAAAATTTCGAATGAAAAACTAGCGGTTAACATCCCCAGTGGCGCAATTGGTTAGCGCAATAAGTGCCGCGCGCTAACCAATATATAACCCTCGTATACGAAGTATACAAAGAAAAAGTATTGTAATCGTCAAAGAATTCGATCTCGAGATTTTGACGAATCTCCACGTTTTAGACCTCCCTGAGTCCGAAAAACACAATTTTAGAATTATGTCTCTCTGTTTGTCTGTCTGTCTGTGAACATGATAACTCGAAAACTATTAGAGATACGGAGATGAAATTTGGTATGTTGCCTTTGCACATAATTTGTAGATTTCTATCACATTTTGGACAAAATCCGTCAACGGGTAGTCTGTATGTCCGAAGTCATGCGAATACTATAACTCAAAAACTTGAATAGCTAGATGGATAAAATTTGGTACACAGTTTTATCGTCATGAATGTAGGTCCGTATAAAATATTGGGCTAAATCCGTCTATGGATTGACTGTCTGTCGGTCTGCATAATCGCATACTCGTTAAGCATGCGTTTCAAAACTGATCTCCATGAGCATGCGTACTTAGCAATCTCTGGTACCAAGCGGGAGGATTACGTCACGTTCTCCTTGAGACGGAGTTTGTGAAAGATATGTTTTATCTCCTGTTTTGTTTTCGCTCTCTCGTATAATAGCGGATCTTGCTGGAGTGTGATGGAAAATAAATATTGCTAAGTTTTAATACATAAGCATCTCTTTTAATATGATTCTTCACTTAAATATTTTACAATCACTATAATCTGCAATGAAAAACCTTCTGATATTCGTTGCATTCTGGATTACAGTAGGTTCGATTTTTTTTTATCCACGCAAGGGGAGGGGAAATGACAAATTTTTGAGCAGTATACGAGAAAGTTTTGGGGAGGCCACTCCCACTGGTTATGTAATGTACACTGATTTATGTTTATTCGACACAATACATTGATTGAAGATTTTTAAAAACAGATGCAATTGTATTATTATTTCGTATTAATTTTTAAGAGTTTTCGAAATTTCCGAATGAAACACCAGCTTCTAGTATCCCCAGTGCTGCAATTAGTTAGCGCGCGGTACTTATAGGACAGTATTTGCGAGAAATGCCGAGGCTGTGAGTTCGAGCCTCAACTGGGGAAGTGTTTCTTTGATCATTGCATCATTTTCGATTCCTTCATTGGCCTGGGAATGTACACTGATTTATGTTCATTACATACACGTCATTCGTTGATGATTTTTAAAAACAGATGCAATTGTATTAATATTTCCTATTCATTTTTCTGATTGTCCGAAAAATCCGAATGAAAAACTAGCTGCTAGCATCCCCAGTGGCGCAATTGGTTAGCGGGCGGTACATATACGGCGGTATCTGCGAGTAATGCCGAAGCTCTGAGTTCGAGCCTCACCTGGAGACGTGATTCTTATATCGTATTGCTTCGGTTTAGTTTCCTTCATTTTTATGAAATGTACACTGATTTATGTTCATTCGAAACATGTCATTCGTTGAAAGTTTTTAAAACAAACGCATACGTATTGTTATTCCCTGATCATTTTTGAGAGTTTTCGAAAATACCGAATGTGAAACGAGTTCGCAACATCCCCAGTGGCCCAATTGGTTAGCGCGCGGTGCTTAAGGCAGTATCTGCGAGTAATGCCGAGGCTGTAAGTTCGAGCCACAGAGAAAAAGTACCAGAGGTCTCTTTCGGGAGTTTGGTTAACTTTCGCAGCGGCACCTAAGCGTTACAGTCGTATTTGTGCGAACTACAAACCACAACACGGTGCCATATTGTATATCGAACTGAAAGCAACCCACAGAGAAGTAGAATCTCTTTCTCTGTGAAGCAACCGAAACGTCGCCATGTTGGGTTGCCTGTTTAATTCTTGCTGCTCCTTGCCACATTTCCCAGCTTATTTATTATAATCGTTACCCAATCGTTATATACCCAATACTTCATTTAGAATCGTGTGAAATTCCAGTTTTTTCAACTCATTTGCCTACTTTCCTATTCAAGATTCCTGGAGATGAGAACGGTAAGTTTAAAATATGTTACAAAATTCTTATGAGATGTTATTTAAATAACTGAAAAACTTATAATATTTAAAATACTTATTTTCACCTTTTGTATATGAAATAATAAAATTTTGTATACTTTTGTGCAGTTGCTGAAGCATATTAAAATGCCTATCATATGGAATAATCTGACAAAAATGTGCATGAATTCTTTAACTTTTTTGCAGTGCTATATTTTGATAGATTTATTGGAACATAGTATGACTTGGTAATTAAAATAATTTTCAAAGATATTAATGGAACCTTTGCTTATTACTCTCAGAAAAACTTTTTATAATTATTGCTATGATGTATTGTGAACTGTAAAAGTAATTTACAAGTTAAAATTCTTTTATTAATAATTTAATATTGAAATACAGCTGAAAATCATAATACATTTATAATTATATTGTGGATATTAAAGGATAAAATTTTGTAGCATTTTTAGCTTATTTTGATTTTGGAGGGGAAAGTGTTTTTTGTATTTTTATAGTATGAAAATTGTTGATGTTATTTGTGCTCTAAGTTGAAGTAATATTGAGATGTGTATTTACTATGTGTAGTTATATCCGAAGCAAGCTTTTTTAGAAATGCCTACTTTGAAATAGAATAAATGAACTAATTAAATATCTCTAGTCTGTTTAATGTTTATACTTTATTATTATTACATATACTGCTGCTAGTATCTTAGAAATAATTCAGTATCTTAGTATAGCATCCTTATGCAAATTTCTATTCCCTTTTAAGAAGATTCTTATTTTTATTAGTATTTATTTTTAACATGCGTTTTCCAGAGGAAAATTAAAATATTCATTCTTATTTGTGTAAATAAAATGTAGGAAATTTGTTTAATAAGCATATTAGCCAATACTATAGTAAAGTTATCAAAATATTTTGATCTGTTTTATTTAACGTCATATAAGAAAATTAATTGTTAATGGCTGAAGGTGAATATTTTATTCATGTATTACAATGAAGTGGAGTCTTTAATAAAAATGAATTGGTTTGTGTTATATAAATGGAATCTACTAGAAATTTGTTTCTTTTTTCAGGCAGTCTGTCAATGTTGGAGCTGTTTTGTCTTCAGGATGGCTGGTCATATGAAATGCACCAAGATTTTCTAGAAATTTGTCTGAAAATGAGAAGAGCTCGCATATTAGGTTTAAATGAACTTGCATCATATGATCCTGTTGATCATGGTTTGTTTACATGCGCAAAAATTTTCTAGTTAATTTGACAAGATAAATTTTGGAACTTTTCTGTGCATCTTACAATGAGTCAGTTTCTAAGTTAATGTTACACTCTTTATGCTAACAAAATTTTATTTTAAAAAATCATCTTCTTTTATTTTTTAAAAAGGCTACAATTTTTTATAAATGCCAAATTCATGATGCATATACCTTATCGAACTTCAGTTCCTTTGAAAAAAAAGAATTATTTTGTGTTATGAGCTCTGTGGTCTCAGATAATTAAAAAATGATTGTTGATATATTTTATTATTAAATACTTTGAAAATTGTTTTTCTTGAATAAAGTATTTCTAAGTATTTAAACTAGCATTGTGTATATTAAAAAAGAAGTACAGATACAAGATTAATACTGCTTTAAATTTTCATACCAAATTTCCTGTCAATTGTTTCATTCATATACAGGTGGTCCAAGTCTTGTAGATACATAAATTTAAATCAATTTAACCTTTTTTTTTTTATCTCGGGTGTATAAATTATGTGTTTTATTGATTGCATTAATTATAAATGTAGTGGTCTAAGATAATTAAAAAATGATTGTTGATATATTTTGTTTTTAAATATCCTGAAAATTGTTTTTGTTGTATAAAGTATTTCTAAATATTTAAATTAGCATTGTGTATATTTAAAAAAAGTCCCACAGATATGAGATTAATACTCCTTTAAATTTTCATACCAAATTTCCTGTCGGTTGTTTTATTCATTCATACAAAGGTAGTCAATTTTATCATTTTTTTTATTTACGGTGTGTTTATGTGTTTCATTGATTTTATTAATTATAAATAATGAAACTTACAGGATGCGTATGAATTTTTCCACACAATTGTATTGAATGTCAAAAGTTAATGGTAGATGAGACTAAAATTTTAGAAAATCATACAGTTTTTTGTATTTTAAAGAATATGATATCAGTAAATAATCTGACTTAAAGTAGCCAACAAATAATTTGTTTCAATATTTTGTCAATTATCATGAATGTTTTGAATCTAATTTTAATTTATGTTTGCAAAGAAATAGTATCGCCAAAAAATTCAACGTTGTCTTAAGCAATGTAAATATAGAGGTTTTTTAATGATCACCTGGAACACAAAGAGGAAGCACAATGTTTTTTTTTTATTTCCTCTTTAGTTCGAATTATGAACTATGATTTCAAATCCAACACAAGTTCTAAAAATAAGTTCAAATATGTTCCCCATTTTTTTTGATGTTATTATATTTCAGCTTGCAAATGTTTTTGAAAAAAAATTTGTATGTTGTTTAATCAAAAATCATAATTTCATAATAGAACACACCAATGCTAGGTAGAATGTTGAGATGCATAGGGAGTTTTAACTCCTGATAGGGCCACCCTAGGTGCTAAGTTCATTCAATTAATGTCTAGCTATTGGTTTTTTTTATAACACTTTCTTAATTCGAATATTTTTATACTATATATAACAGTTAACTCTGGTTTCTAGGCAGTATTTGCTATAAATGTTATGTTTTGTAACTTATTATGCTTGTTCAATAAAATGTGACATTGTTTTAAGTATTTTGTATTTATTATAGCATCTTGTTCCATAACCATATAAAGGTATTTAATTTTTTGTGGGAGGGGGTTGGAAAAATTCTGAAAAATTATCTTCACAAATGAATTTTCTCTGTGAAAATTACATTCTACCAATATTTCTTTATCTTGAAGAATTAATGTGCATTTATTAAAAACTGTTGAAGTTTTAAAATATTCTAAAAGAGATAGTATAATAGTTACTAAAGCAACAAATGTAATTTTTTGCCGAGTTTAAGAAAATTGCAAGTGAATTAATTACGTATATTCTATCAATTTTAGTATCTTGAATAATAATGAATGTGAATTTATTAAAAATTAATTTATTGTTGAAGTTTAAACATATTCCGAAAGAAGTAGTATAGTGATAACACATTAAAATCAAATTTTAGGTTAAAAAAATTCAAAAATGAATTTTCTTTATGGAAATTAAATTCTATTAGTTTTTAAATCCTGAACAAGAATGAATGTGTATTTATTAAAAATTATTGATTGTTTAAGTTTCAAAATATTTTGAAAGAAATAGTATAATATTTACTAAAACAACAAATTTAATTTCCTGCAGAGTGTAAGAAAATCACAAGTGAATTTCTTTTAATGAAATTATATTTTATCAATTTTTGTGTCTTGAATAATATTGAAGGGAATTTATGAAAAATTAATTTCCTATTTGTTTAAAAAAAATTATGATCTGAAAGAACTTCTCTTCAAAAAAGGATAAATGAAATTATTAATATGACAAAAACTTTGATCTTCTTAAATTATACATTCACACGCTATAAATTATTGGTACCCTAGGAAACAGGCAAATTTTTTAATGTTTTGAATGATATTCCAAATTTACTTTTAATTTCTGTATTAAAGAAAAAGTCAATTTAGTGAGAGATTTAAAATAATTATATAAACAATAATAAATGGCATTATTATTAAAACAATAACATTTTTAAATTAATATATATAAAAAAATTAACTATTCATAAATTTAATAATCGTCGAAAAACGAGTTGAAAATCCAATAAATACCTAATTATTGTTTACATCGTTGTCATGACGATAGGAAACGGCTTCGTTTCCTCTCGCGTCACTATGACGTCACGGTGACGTATTCCGGTTAGTTCCACTGTAACGCATTGGTGGCGTACTGTCTATGTGAAGCGTAATGTTAAAAAAGTTGCCATTAGGGTCTATGGGAGTGAGACCTCTGATTCTACTTCTCTGTGGTTCGAGCTTCACCTGGGGAAGTGTTTCTTCGGATTATTTTCCTTCTTTTTCATGAAATGTACAAAGATTTATGTTCATTCGAAACATATCTTTCGTTGATGATTTTTGAAAACATACCCATTTGTATTCTTATTCCCTAATCATTTTTCAATGTTTTCGAAAATTCCGAATGGAAAACTAGCTGCTAGCATCCCCAGTGGAGCAGTCGGCTAGAACGCGGTACTTATAGGTCAGTATTTGGGAGTAATGCCGAGGCTGTGAGCCCCAGCCTCACCTGGGGAAGGTTTTCTTTTATCATTGCATCATTTTAGATTCCTTCATTGTTATGGAAAAGTACACTGATTTATGTTC